GAGAATGGCATTTATCTTTGCACGTTGAAGTGAGTCGAGAAACATTAATGACAGCGGGGGATGGCAAGGAGAAAACGGTAGTTGGGTCGTTTCCTCACCACGAAGGTCCTTGGCCCTAGCTAGAACACGGTTTGTTCCTTGCCTCTAGGCTCGCTGGAGGTCGTCAGTTTGAGATCGAGGAAATGCAACGAACCAGAGCGCTAGCCAAGTCAAGTTCAACTGTTTGGAACATCCACTATATTCGTTCCGTTTCGCGATCGTTTCAAATCACTCGAGACCCTGGTTCTCGTTCGATCCTTTTGTCACGCGATCGTTTCGTCATCGTTAACGAGAAAGAGCATCAGACCATGGTTAACCGTGGATCGAATCGCCTCGAATACTGTTATAATTAAAGTACATGTAAATTAATGAACCAACGTTTGCACGAAAATCCTCTGTTTCGTTATACCCTGGAAATAAGGAATTTAATGTTGCATATGTCAAATAATTTCTTACCTTTATTACGTCGAATCGATGTTCCAAATCGTTTAGCAAATTATTTGAATTTTTACTATTAGATTCGTCATCTGAAATTGAGTGATCAAATATTCATTTATAACCTTATATATCAATTATTTATACCATATTATAAATACATATTCACCTTAATTTATGTTTCCACTGCATATCGATTTTGCTGTTAAAACTTCGATATCAAATTTACATTAAAAACAGAAGACTTGATGTCATAACCTTTAATTTAATTGCACTATAAGTCTTGATATATTTTTTCTGTGGACAGTTAAAATAAATTGATATCCGGATTCTGTATCAAATGTTGGTAATATTTGGTGATAAAACCTGTTCTAACCATTTTGAAAATCTAGTAGAGAGGTTGATCTGACAGATTTCGTTGACAGAGTATTCATAATATCATTTATGAGATTGTTCGAGGAATTAAAATGCTGAAAGACAGTAGGTTAATGAGAAGAAAGAACGAATGCGTTTTTAACGACATCTAGCGAGTTGAAACGGAAACACGGATTAAACAGTCGTTTTAACTGGAATGTGTGAAAAGCATATTTGAATGGTACAAGAGAAATTTTCCGGATATTCTTTCTTCAATAGTCACATTCTTATAAACGTATATTAATCTATACATCGATTAAAATAATTATAGCTAAAAAAAAGTTTAAATAAGTTCAATTTTTTTAGTCGTTTGGAAAATTGAATATCTATCACATCTTTCAAAACTTACGTAGTATAACTTCATATACCTATATAGCCGAAGAAAAAATTTATCTAACTTTTTACTAACGGAGAAATTGAAAATAACGTTATGAATTTTTAATTTCATGATTTCAAACATAAAAATGTAAAAATATTAAATATATAAAATGTTTTATTTATAGTTTTATATTTATATAAATCTATATGAATATAAATACTTAGACATTTAAAAATTTATAAATATTCTTAACTGTAATTAAATAACGAAATATAGATTGAAAAATCTCTAATTGATTGAAAATTCATTTCAGACTTACAATTGGCAGCAGAACTCGGTAAAACACTTCTAGAGCGGAATAAGGAATTAGAAAATATCATCAAAGCACACCAATCCACCGTCGAAGAACAAGCACAAGAAATAGAGGTAATCTATCAATGACTACGACCTTTTTAAATATTCCTGTTGATGGTAATGATCATTTAATAACATTAAAATATTTTTCCACTTCCAGTATATGAAAAAACAAACGGCAGCCTTGAGGGAAGTAAATGATTCACGATTAAAAGTTTATGAACAACTTGAAGTTAGTATTCAAGATTTGGAACGCGCGAATCATCGTCTTATTATTGAAAACAGCAGTGACAAAAAATTAATCAAGAGGTACGAAAATAAACTGTTATTCAATTTTTTCGCCTTTAAATGATTTTGAATTTAAATTTCTGTCTAGAGAAATTGTCTGTTCTTCGTAGATAATTTTTATATAAAAATTGCTTAAGTAGAATTTAGGTAGGAATCTACATTATCGGTATCAAAAATCAAATAGAGATTTACATTATCAATACTAAGAAGAAATGATAAATATATGTAAAATATAATTTCTGTTCAACATCATGTAAGAAATGATTTTTATAATCTGTTAACAGTCAATGTTTGACGATCGAGAACCTCGAAGCCCGGTGTGAAGATCTTCAGAAGAAAATCGACGAAGCCTACAGTTCAAAACAGACTGTGAGCCAATCGACGAACACTGCACAAACACAGACCGTTCTATGGAAAGCTTCGGTCACGCAGGGTGGCAGCATACAACAGGTTATTAATATTCATCGAATTCATTTTGCTCGATCGCAGATAAGTTAGATAATTATCGGTTTGCTACTAAACTGTAAACGGTAAAATCTCAATCTATCGTTTAAAGATCGTTTGATATCCCTATGAAAAATTCTATTCTATTTAACTCAACACTTCCTACCTATATACTCTCTTATTTTGTATGGAAGCTGTATAGTTTATCGTGGATTAATTAAAACGTTAAAATCTTGAATTTTTTTTAAATTATATATTTTCACGAAACGCAACATGCAAAATTATCCATAATTTTTCCTTTTCTAATTGAATGAAAAGAAAAATTATGGAAAAACGATCGATGTTTTTACTAATTACTGATCTGCCATGTTATTTCTTTTAAGTGTAAGAGTGGAAGAATATGATTAAATCTTCAATTTTTGTACATTATCTCCTTTAAAAAGTAAAAAATTTAGTAAACTATAGAAATCTATGATAAAGGGATTATATTCTAATAACAAGAAAATTAAAAATAAAATATCTGTTTGTAATAATTATGTCATATAATGTTATTTCGTTTGTAATAATTGTAATAATTACCGATATTAATGAAATGTTTTATTAGTATTTTACTCCTTTGTTGCAAATTTATTTTACAATATATATTTATATTAGATATAATATAGATATATGGACGATAATATGCAACTATTAAAAAACTATATGAATTATCGTTAACTTGGAGATGAAAATATTTTCAGAACGCTGCCCTATCTGGCCAAAAATCTTTCCAGGAGACAAGTGTAGACTCAGATGTTCGACAACTGTCAACGGTTATGACAAATGACGAAGAAATTACTGAATTATTGAGACAATTGCAAGAAACACGAAGTCAAAGAGCAAGAGAACAAAAGAAAATCGACGATCTTGGACAACAATTAACAACCTTGTTACAAGAAAATAATGCATTAGAAGAACAATTGAATGTATGGCGTAGTAAAGCACAAGACGTAAAAAATCTTCAAGAAGAAATAAATACCCTCGAAGAAGTAAGGTAGGTTTGATGTCAAATATATTATTTAAAAATCATAATCTTCTGAAGCATCTGCAACAAAAGTTTCTCAAAACTTTAATATTGTAAATATTTTGTACGAAATATCTCCAATATTAATAGATCCTTCACATCGATTTTCAATATCTTTTAATTTAATATTTTTATTCAAATTTTAAACAATTTTTAGAGTAATTTTATTCTAGTACATGTGTTAATTACTTCTACATAAAAGTGTTGCTAAAAGTTAAAAATTATTATGTTTGTATATGAAAATTAACAAAGTGCTTTATTATTTTATAATTCCTTAACATATTAACCACTGATTTATTACAGTTTGGTAATCAAATACTGAAATTTTTATAGACGAGGTCAATTATGTGGACGGTGTTTACGTGGTATGGAATCTAAGACACACGATGAACTCGCAGTGATGTTGAACCAAGAAGAATACGATGACATTAATATGGCTGAAACACTCGTTACTGATAATCAATGTAACACCGAATCTATTGTTCAGGTAACTATTTTTTATATTTATTTGTGCAATGCTTGTCTTGTCGGACAATAAATGCACGTTTTTGTTCTTTAATCTCTGAGTTTCCGTTAGTTATTTACTGTTAGTTTTATTCCATTTTAAACAAATATTTGTTCTGTATGCTTTGTATGTCTAATAATTAATATTTCGACGGTATAATTTGAGCGAAATAGACATTACATCGTACCTCTATTTCTAAGGGCTTCTAAGTTACACAAGCAGATTCGAAAGTAATTTAATTTTATTTGCTTTAGGAGACACTTCCAACAAAGATTAAGAAATCCAAGGCAAAAAAAGAGAATAAAGAATTTCGTACGCTGTTGTGGACAACTTTCGCGTGTATATGGAAAACACCGTCGTTAATTTTTGTTTTCTTTCATACAATATGGTACATTAAAAATGAATGTATTATACCATTATTACTAAAACCTTTTCAAATACCAATTTTTGTTCTAAAAAAGGTTTTACCGTTAAAGAGCAGTAAAAAGCCCCTTTAAGTTATAAAGACGTGTAGATAACAATAAATGTTAAATTATATAATTAGAAGGTAAAGAGAATTAATCGAATGAGTATTTTACTCGATACTATGACGTACATATATTGTCAAAAGATATCAGTTTGCAATCTATTTGATAAAAGTAGCATATACAAGCCAAATACACTTTTAATTTTATTTTTATAAAAAATTATTAACTAAAAACGCGTTCAAAATTTTATTGACTTTGACGATTAAAGAAGTATCATATTATTTATTAATTATAATTGGAAATGCCATTACAATATTGAAATTGTCATTATTTAATTAATTTGTTTCAAAGAATTTTATTTTTTATTAGACCAAGATGAAAGACAGTATAATATTTATTTTTATATTGGTAGTCATGTTATAGATGCAAATATCATGTTTACTTCATTATTCTTTTAATTTCCACTTTAGAAAGGTTTTTGTCTTGCAATTAGACTGTCCTCAACTCTGTACCATAGTTTAGTAGATTTTTGGAAGGTAATTGAGAGATACATCAAGATTTACAAATGTAAAGTTTGACACGTGTTGTTCAAGTTTTCAATAAGGCAGGTTAAAAAATGGTGTAGGTAAAGCACAACGAAAATTATAACTGAGCACTTACATTACTAGAAAAGTAACCATAATAAACCTAATATCATAAGTTAACAAGTTTAGTATTAAATTAAATCGTGGAAAAATATTCATATGTTTCAATGCCAGAAAAATGCCACTAATCTATGATAAAATATTTTTGCATGTTTATATTAATACATAAGGAAACTAGCAATACCCACGTATTCTGTAGATATAATATACATATATCGTCGAAAAGAAAAGAGAGAAAAGAGTTTAATTTCCAAAGAACAAAAAGACTGCGTTAAATTAACAAATTAGCGAATAAGTTATTTCCATATGTAATTATTCATGTGTAAAAGCAATAAGTGTGTAAAATTTAAATGGACAGAATTGGTGATGCTGCTTATTTTTTTTAGAATTAAGCTTGCTTCATCGTATTTACTTTCTGACGTTATTAGTTCGACTTTCTGCATGACACCGAATATTGTTAGTATATCTAGTCGAAGTATTTGTTAAAATTGCGTTGTACAATGTAAGTGCCAGATTTATATGATTTTAAATAAAACATATTTTTACAACAAATATTGCTTAATTTATTTAATATCCTATAAATCTGGCGTTTCCTTTACCTTTCATCCGTTAATCCTTATTTTTGGACAATATTAATAACACAATCTTCATATATATATGAATTAATTGTTCTTTTTACATTTAAGTTTTAGTCGTGGAAATAGATTTTGGGAAAAGAATTTAATTTTTATATAACTCTAGCTGCATCACCAATTTCATTCATTTAAATCCTTTCTGCGAGATAAAACATTTATTTTAAAATCAATACTGGCACTCATTTACTGACAAATTTCAGAACCAATTCCTAATTAAAAGACACACATAATTATTTCCTACTATTTTTCTACATCATATATGAAGTATGTTTAAAAGCTATGTATCAGCAAACGCCAAGTAATTTCTTACAAAGAAAAAATAAGAAAAAAAGTATACAATAAAATTTGTCTCTTGAGGCCAAGTTTTTGTGAAAATTAAATTTAAAAAATCCATTCCATAACGTGTATCGTATTTATAAACAATATTTGAAATGATTATTTTCAAAACATATTTATATTGTTTCCAGGAGTCGAATAAGAAATATGAAGTACCAAACGACTTGAACAACCCCTATAGAGTGTTAGTGGAGAAATATCAAGCTTTATTAGAAGTTCAAAGGCGTTCCGCGAACCGACGAAAGGATAGTGTACCGACCCCGATGTCATTGCAAGAGGAATTAGTAATGTCAGGCGAGTTCAACAGCTTTCAGACTCCGACGTCGGAGACAGAAGTCCAACAAGAGCCGTCGAAACCTGTCAGTGGAAATGCTACACGTGCCAAAACAGAAATATGCGGTAAGAAAGCATTTTCCGCTACACCCACAGACTTCTCTGAAGCCGAGACTTCATCTTCTGGCTTCTCGGACGAGACGAGCAACAAAGCGTCACAGACCGAAGGAAGGCCCGGCTCGTTCCTTTGTTCTATTGCGGACGGTGAAGATTGCAAATTTAGCATTTACGATGATAACAGCCCGTTCGAGAGTAGATTCCGAAAAACACCAGAGTATAGATATTTATTTAGCGAAATATTCAGTGTTTTGAAACGAGCAGCAGAAGCTAAAGCTGAAGGTGAAAAATTACCACTATTAAACGATTCTACGAGCACGACCACTTCTCAGGCACAATCCTCAATTTTTCTTCAAGATGTTCCTAGTGAGACTACTGACGATAATCAGAGCATTGTTTCTTCCGTTTTCTCCTCCACCGTTTCTGAGCCACTTTATCGACAAATCCCTGTTTCATCGAATGGGATAAATGAACCACAACAAAATAATGAAGTAACGCATACGCATGTAAGAACTGGAAAGAACGTAATTCGAAACGAAAGTCTATCGATTAACGTTAGGAAGAAGTCATCAAAGAAGAATAGCAATAGAAAATTGACATATGACGATAGACCGACAACGCCCGATGTAATGCCAATAGCAAATCCTAGGTTCGTCCCACCAAAATCAAACAGTGGCAAGAAGAAGAAATTTAGACCTATTAGAAATGGTGATCAAAATGGTAGCCTATCTAATGGATACAATTGCGTAAACAAAACAAAAGAGTTACCTAATTTTGAAAAACCGTTGAATAATATAAACAGTAATACATACACATACAACAGCCATGATCAGCACAATAACAGTTTCGAATACAAAAACTACAAACCAAGCACAGCATCAGAAGAAGTCGCCAGACTAAAACGTTTAGAAATGTCTTATGCGGAAGTTCTTCGGTTGCCAAATAAATCTAAAAGAATCAATAATCATAAATGTATGTAATGTATGATGTGGATAGAAATATTCTTACACACAGTAGCTTAAAGGGAAAATAGACTTTTATATGTAAGATAAAACTTATACGTCAAGTGAGATTAAGTTCAAAATTTGTTAAGTTCACTGTCAAATGAATGTTTAGACAGAACAAGATTAAATTATTTCAAGAATAAGATTCAGTATTGGTAATCACTGATAATTAAACACATTTTGTGAATATCTAAGTGCGATTGTGCATAATGTCTCTACTAGGTACTAAACTATGTGACATTAATTTTTTATTGTATTTTGTATCTTAATTGTATATGGTTTTTCATGTAACAAAGGTACATAACGTTAATATATACCGTCAATAATATCTATGAGAGATGTATGAGCAAGATAAATCGAGTTGTGTCTCGCGAATTTGTTTTTCTTTAAAAATTGTAGTTGTAACCAGAAATAAAATTATTTATGTGCCATTTACTATGTCGAATTATAATCATCAACAATTCCAAATACTTGCTCGAATTTCCTTCCATAATGTGTAATACCTATTCCCAGAAGAACTCACAGTTACTGCATTTCATTAATAGCATATATAGTGTATTAGCTTATATATTTCATAACTATAAATTACAATAATATTGTGATCATCTTATACCGAGTAAATAAAATTATTATCATAGTCAGCATATTCTATAATAACACCTAATTCCTCTTTCTATGATATCCTGTAAAAAGCCATATAATTCTTTTATTTATTAAACATCACACTATAAAAAAAAAATTCTGAAGAATTGGTATATATTCTTCACAACTCTAATATAATACAAACATTTTTCTTTAGTTTTTAAAATTTCATTGATAACGAAATATTAAAAATTCTTAAATGCTTGTTGTTTTATTTGACTATATTAAACGTACAAGAAGCATTCTTGTGTTTGTTGTTTACAATATCAATTCATTTGCTATTATGTAAATTCCATTCAGATGCAATATACAAATTAAAAATAAGATACGTGATGCTTTATAAATACAAATTCCACTCAGAACTCCCTTTTTTATGTATTACTTGTCTTTTAATCTCTTGATTCTTTTCCTATTTTTTTCTTTTGTTCACTTTTATAAATATTTGGAATAAAATTTTTTGTCATTATATATGACATTTTCTGATTAAAATTGATATACTTGATTAAGAATCATCGAACAATGCACGATGTACTGCTCCTAAACTTGGTTGTACGTAACTTGAACTAACACTTCTTCTGGATCTGCAAAACCATATAAAAACCTAAATATATGAATAATCAGATAGCAATTTAGGAGAATGCACAAATATACAAGGAAACACAATAACTTAAACTATATGAAATATGTATAATTTTTTAAGATATGTAGAAATTCCATCCCACTTCTTGATTTAATCTCATATAATCTTAAAGGTTGCTAAAATCATTTAACACCTGCTACATTATTTAGAAATAAAAAAAAAAATATAGTGTTATTTGAAAAAATGGAGTTGACTTCAAAATTTTTTAAAACACTACCTACAAAAAAATTATCAGACATGTCATACCTTCCCCGGTGATATATAGCTTTTGTAAATAAATTTTTTCAATATGGCTAAAAATAAAGGAAATATTCCAAATTCACAAAGTTATTGGATCACCCTGTATAAATGATTTAAAAATGATTATATTTTGCACTAATAAACAAATGTACTTACTCTGTAAGAGATCTAACAGCTGGCCCAGTTGGATTATTTTTTGGTCGTGGATTTACAAGAAGACACTTCATAGGATGTCCATCTAATTGTCTATTATGATAAGTTTCAACAGCTTTAGTAGCATCTTTTAATGTTTTATAAATTACTTCTGCTGTACCCGGTCGTACTAATCTGGATACTAACAATTCTCCTACATCCTCAAATAATTCCTAAAGTATACAGATGTTACCTTCTTCTGTTAAGCTAAAACTAAATAGATTTAATACTTTTACATTATACCTTAATATCTTCTTGAGTGACATTTGCTTGCAAATTTGATACTACAATTCGATAACCAGTAGACTGTGATGATGAGCTGGAACTTGTTTTAGATTGAGATAAAACACCCATAGTTCGCGATTTACTTGGAACTGAATCTAATCTTGACTTTACTCCAACATCTCTATGACTTCTTGAATCATAATATTTTGAATCTGCTGCATCTTCTGTTAGTATAGTCCTATAAAGATAGTATTAACTCAAACAATACATTTAACACAATTGAATACAATCATTTTAACAGTTGGAAATAACAATCATAAATGTATACCGTGATTTTGTGCCAAAATTCCAATCTTCTTTATATGAGGGAGAAGCAGGTTTTGTCTAAAAGCATTAATTATGTATAACTTACAAGTTTAAAATTAAAGAATCAATGTGACATATTATGTACAATAATATTTACCATTGAAAAACGTGCAATAACTTTATAATCTCTTGCTCTTTCACGTTCTCTATCATCTTCAGGTTTACGAGAAGGTACAATTCTTATTACATTACTGCTTGTTGGTTTTACCCATGTATATGAAGATGCAGGCTTAATACTGAATGCTGGGGGTGGAGGTGGTGGTGTAGGAGCATATTCATTACTTACAGTTCTTCTTAAAGGCGCTGTTTCCATCATATAATCTAAAATATACAAAGATGTTGAATAGGTTTATAAACTACAAATTATACTAAATGGGTATATCAATTCATTCTGTACCATCAATAAAATCCATGTTCATGTCTCCCATATAATGGGGTTCTATAAGTGGAGGTGGCCTATAACCCACTGCCCTTGTGGGTGGTGGCATATAATTATTCGGAATATTTGGTGGCACATTATGTGGCATAATTGGGGGCATTTTATTAGTTGATAAAGACAGTCTTCCATTACGACCTGTTTTTTGAGATATTCCAGGTATTTGAGTTTCTATTTTTTTGAACTGCGATGCACGAATCTTATCTAACTTTAGTCTAGCATCACTTTGTTTTGCAATTTCAGCAAGCTTATCTCTGGCATCTGTAAGTTTTTCTCTATTTTTCTGTATAATTTTAAATCGAGCATCAGTAACTACTTGTAAACCACGTCCTCTTAATGAACCATTAGCACGTGCACCCCTATTAATACCTCTTCGAACACTATATGAAAGGTAACAAAAAATTGTAATTAACTTTTTACTTATAATAGTTACTTTTTTTGGCTCATTTGTGAGCATAAATGTTATAATAATTTGTATTAATAGAATGAAATAATTATGTAAACTAATATTAGATATCAATAAGCACATATCATCATAACTTCTTTTTATTGAGAATAATATCTACAATATATATTTAGAATTAAAATGATAAAAAAATATATAAATAATACTTTATAATAATGGCGAGAGTGTATTTGTAAAAAATAAATTTTTTATTTTAATTTATTCATGACAATACTTTACACTATTAAGAAAATCTTTCAATTTAAAACAAGTTTTTCTATTAATCTCAAATTATGAAATAAAGATGTCAATTTAATGCAATAACAAAATAATTTGTAAAAAGAATATTACGAATGCAATGAAAAATTTACAAAAATATTGCCACACAATATTAAGAAAGGAATTTTCTTTTTGATAATTGCAGACTCATTTCTTTAAGGTTATAAAGAAATCGATAACACAGCAATCACAATAGTTTAAATTTCTTAAAATTGTCTCACCCTCCACCTCTGCTTCTCATTCCTGACGATTTCGATTTTTTAATTATGTCATCTAAACTTAGGCCCACATCAGCCATACCGTAACAATCCAACTACCAGAAACTGACGCGAATCATGAAACCAAGATACAAGCCACTTTATACTTAAAGGCATGTTTTCATATAACTACTATATTTAACATGGTAATTTGTAAACCTCCTTTACTGTATTATACTCGTAAACTTACGATTGTTTAAATTTATGAAGATAATCATAAATATTTTTCACGAATATTTATCTTAAAAGATAATCATTTTAATCAATAATAAAAAAAAGTTGTATGGATTATTTGTACTGCTTTAAATTGAAATATATGTATATTTATATATTTGTTTAATATTATTATTATATGTATAAATTATAAAAACTTTATATATTTTATAATAAGAAATTTATTAAGTAAAATAGGTTTCTTATTTAATTACATTACCGTTAAAGATTAAAAACTGACAAATATAGTACTACCCTTTATAATGTTATTAAAATAATCTAATAACGCAATATGTAATTTATTACTTCATAATCTTAATTTATACAAATATGGACGAATAAATTACTCCATACAACCATATAAGATATTAGCTTTCTAATATAATTTGTACTATAAGTTGTGTATAAAACAAAAAATTTGAAAATATGTCAATGCAGTAATAAATTAATAAAAAGATGTACGTAAGATATACATGATTTTTATTTATTTATGTAATTAAAATATTTAAATCAAATTATCAGCAAATACAGATATTAATTATACCTTAATAATGAGTTTAACCAAATACATAATAGTTAACTTTTAAAAAATCAAATTCTTGTATAAATTTATAAAATATAGATGATTTAGTCTTTGATAGTGTTTCTTTTAAATCGATTTCTATAAATATCTTCGAAACTGTTTATAATATTCTCTATAGAATAATTTAACAAAAAAATTAATTCTACTCAATTATATTCTCTTTGAAAATATTCACCTTTTATACGAAAGATTTATCAGAATTTATATAATTTCAAAATTATAATGTGAAGTTTTATTCTTTGAAAATTCAAAAAACTCAAATAAGTGGCGCCGTTTCCATGAAAACGTACTCTTATATCGGCCAAATGTTGATGACCTGATGAGCATGTGAGAACGACAAATTTTTCGTTTCTTTTAAAACAAAATACAACTCCAAACCTTTTGGAAGTACAAGAAAATGATTGTAATTTTTAAATTAAAATGATTTGATAAATTATGAAAAAGCTATCAATGACCATTTCTAAAACATGTAAATACATATGCACATTTTAACTCTATAAAAATTGCATTTTACCGTTGCAGGAAATTAAATTTTTATCAAAATTATAATATAAACAAAATTTTATTGAATTTTTCATGACTGTTTTCTCAACAAGTAGGTACGATTTGAAAGAAATTATTCAATTTGTTAAAAAATGTAAACGTACAAATAAATAATGTAGTAGCGTAACGAATATCTTTTAAATATATCTAATAATTTTAGGAAAATTTGATAAAAAATTTTTGTTTCACAATAACAAAATTAGTTTAGGTTAAAAAATTATTTAATTTTTTTTTAATGATAAAGCATAATTCCATAAATAATATTAAATAAATTGAAGACACAGCTTTTTTCTAAATCTTTCAGAAAATAAGTTGCATGAAGAACAATAAATTGTCAATAAAATGTTGAGAAATCTAGTCAAATGAAAGAAAGATATTATTTTACAAGTTATTTTTAGTGATAATTCATTTGGTAATCAACATGAGTAATATTTAGGAAACAAGAAAACAACGGCAAAAGTTTATCAAAGGATATAAAAAAAATTTTGAGAAAAGAGTATTATATTTAAAATATAATTTTAAAACAAAGAAAAGAAAAATGATGGTGTAAAATTCAATTTTTAAAATGAAAAATTTAGATACTAATGTCTAAAATTAAGAAAAAAAATTTAAATAAATTATGCAGAAAGATATTATTAAAATTGACAATGCAAATAAATAATTTTTATTTCTTTCCGGTTGTAAGGCTTGGTTTTGTTTTGTTTAAAATATTTAAAATATATTGTGAGTCTTGTATGCCTATTACTAGTAAAATTAGAACTAGTAATTAATACAAAATTGTCAAAAGTTCTATGTAACTATTTATTCATACAAATGTTTTCTACTTTTAATTCTACTGTTCTTGAGTCTTAAAGGAATAGACTTGCTAGGAAATTTGCTGACGAATTCTCTCTGTCTTCTCTCCTTTTTTCTTTGTAATAATACCAGATGTAACAATCTTCAGAATTGATATCAAATGCTTATGTTAATAATACTGTAACTGAAATTTAAAATCTACGTATACTAAAGTTGAATTAATTTATATTTTGTATAATGATTTATCACGCTTATTATCCTTCGTAATATTTTTAGTTATTTAAAATATAATTTCATATTTTTCTATAACATAATGAATACAATACAAATCTAATTCTAAATTTTATACATGCATCGATAAATTTTTATTTTAGAATTATAAAATCATTACATAAAATGTACTTTGAACAAGTTTTGAAAACAAATTTTATTGTTATATAAAAATCTAAGTACGCACATTTTATAAATAACATTCAAAGTATGCTGTAACTAAGTTGTAATTGTAACTATACTATGTATGTACTATGTTGTAACAAAGTACTATTATTGAGTGATCACTTACAGTAAATGCAAAAAAGATGACTAAAATTTCTTACCTCTACATAATTTCTTACCCTCATATTCATTGTTGTGATTTTGGTATTTGTAAAGTGATATTTAAAAGTATTAAAAGTGAAAATCGAACAAATGAAATGAACTTGTAATTCACATAAGAAATAACAGAACTAATTGTACTATGTACTTACTATGTATTTATAACATTTCGGATTGAATATGATCATTGTTCACTATTGAATCAAACAATTATGACTGATGGTTAATTGTGAATACTTTGGAAAAATATTGGATGAATGGAAGCAATTATTTTGCATACAAGGTTATCTTTGCCAGCGAATAAATCAAGAGGTTGGTCATTTAATAGGACATTATTTCTTCGTTGAAAGTAAGATGTGTAGGTATAGTTCGTTCAACGAGAGGAATCAGTGCAGATAAACAAACCAAGCACGTGATGGTACAACCGCTTCAGCCATTGGCTAACAGACACTAGTCAAACTATGATGTTCAGGGACGCTACACCATTGTAACTAACGTAGCTTATTAATGCCAACAAATGCTCATAAATGTTTTGTAGTTTTATTTATATATTTGTTATTACATATACACTGTTGTACATAATAATAAATATATTCATATATAATAATAAGCTTACAATTATATAAATTAAATAAATAAATAAATGTATGTTTATATATACATTTTATTATTATATACACTAATATTATTACATTACTTATGATTATATATATTTACAATGAATCATTTCATAGTATTCTTAATTACAATTAATTAACGTTTGAAAAAACAACTTTTTATTGTAAAAACTGCGAATGCGACCCTGTCAAACTGATTAGGCATCACGTGCATTTGTTTACGTCTTTTGATTCTTTTCGTTGGATGAATTTTAGGTATATTGTGATTTGTTATTGTGTATAAGGAATATTTTCAATTTCAATCTACCTGTGTAACTATTTTTGTTAAATAGACTTTATCTTTTATCGATAATTTTGTAATTCTTATGGAATATGGAAAAACGAGCAGAAATTGTTTGAAAATCAGAAGGATCATTTTTAATTGTCAAATTTTTTATTAGATAGTATATGTATATATGAGAAAAATATATGTATATTTAACAATGTTATAAGAACTTAAACTAAATAGGTAGAATTTGTTGTGACAAATTTAATGAATTATGGTTATAAATGATGCATTACAAAAGGTTAATAAACACAATAAACAAGTTTCAAGGGAATATCGATATGAATGAAGACTTGATTTAAACGTATTATAATATGTAGGATCTGGAGGTTAAAGAGAAGATTAAACGTATAAGTTATAAATTCTTTATTTATTTATTTAATATTATTAATAAGTTTTCAGGTTTTTAGATGAAATAAAAAAGACATAACCTTTTAATATATTTTAGATATAAACATATGCGGCTTTCTGACAACAAATGAGATACTTTAGAACAATTTAATTACTAAGATGCTTATTCATTTTTCAACTTTATCTTGGTAATGGTAATTTCGATCATTTATTAAAATTTATTTAGCACTTCTCCTTTAATTTTGTTTTGCTTTCTGTAGGCGTGTAATGATTATTGAATTTATGTGATGTTGATTATCATATGAAATCCATAAATGTTTGTGTACCAGTATACGGTAACGATTACGTAATGCGACGATATTGTCGATATACTTCACATCACTTTGATGAAGCATACTTTTCTTTTGTTTGGAATATGGTACATTTGGATTGAGATGATCTTCAACACGTTGAGTGCCACGCTATATTAGGATATTGCACAGGAGACTACAAAGTATTTTCATTATTCTAAAATTAAAATAAAATTGTCGAATTACCTATAACATTCAAAATTATTTAGTCGGCGATGTTCTTTCTATATTGACGATTTTAAACATTTCAGGCACTCCGGACACTGATAAGCACCATGACCTTGTCACGGGACTAACTTAGACACGCGAGTGAAAATAGTTCACGAAAGCTTTTATACGAGATACTCTCCGTATAGAAAAGAGGACGTGTATAGGTTTAGAGTTAGACTGACTTTATTTTGGTTTTGGGTTGGGATATATATATATTCTTATTATCTTGTCCTGGATGGTTTGGAAGGGGTTGGATTTTGGAATTTGGAGTTTGGGGTTTCGGTCGTCTGGTGATTCATGTAGGCTGATGTCACAGGGTTGCATCTTGGATTTTGTAAGTCTAGTCATATCGATAATTCAGGTCGGCTGTCGTCACACCCCCGTGTTTAGATTCGATTTGGTCCTCGAAAATCGTATTATCTTCCTTCTTGAAGTTAAAGGAGTCCTCGTCCAGCGTACCGAATAATGATTTCGATACTGATCCTATT